TGACTTTTAACAGGATTTCAGTTATATCGCGGCGTGTCAGCTTAATGTGGGAGGAAAGCCCGAAGTGATGCAGGTCTCGGACGTTTACCACTTCGGTGAAACACACGAGCACGGGTATGGTGCTGACAAACCTAGAAACATAATTGGGACGAATCGGGATTCGAACCCACAATCATAGGTTTCTGGCGTGCCCAAGGGATGCAACTCTGCACGGCGAATCGCGTCGCCTTAGATGACTGGGCCACCCGTGCCCCCATTTGAGGATTCAAACGTGGTCGAAGTAAGAAATGGGTTTAGAAGATAAAGGGTACACCCCGGAACCATCGATTTCGTAGAGGCGATGTCCTGCAAGCGCTGCATACATTGGACACGTTGGTACATGTGAGGATTCGAAAATGGTCGAGGTTGGAAATGTGCTTAGAACACCCGGGGATACTCCAGAACATGCCAGTGTCGAAGCAGTGATATGCCACAACCAGTGCTAAATCTCTGACGACTTTGGTACAAGCAAACCATTTGAGGATTCGAACATGGTCGAGGTCTAAAATGTGTATAGGACACCCTGGGACCCTCCTGCACACGCCTTTTAAGTAGCGGTGATATACCACAATCGGTGCCTTAATTTTTATGGCATTGGTACAAGCAAACCATTTCAGGGTTCGGATATGAACGAGCACTAAAATGGGTTACGAACACCCAAGAATGCTCCGGCACCCACCAGTTTCGTCAAAACGGACCAGTGAAAGATCAAATTATTAATTAAATTATATAATTATCATGTGCACTGTATTTATGAAGTGGATTTAAGTAGGCTCGAACTAAATGACTCAGTGATATGAGAAATCGTAGAGCCCGACATCGCTGCGCGCAGCTTTATTTAATATCATTATTATTATTATAGTAGTGATGCTGCATAGCAGTTATCCTGCCATATGACGAGGCCTGCAAACAATCGAGTCTTGACCAGACAATCCAGTGATTGGCATAATAAGAAACCATACACGCAGTCGGGGTACGCCTTCACCCGATGTATGAATCAGGTCACTGATTGTGCGGACACTGCGTCTGACCACCCAATCCATTAATGTAAGAGCCAGTGCGAAAACGAGGCGTGAAAATACCATGTGAAGTTCACAGAATGGAAAGGCATCGTGTTTCATGTTAAACAAACCACGTATTTAGTAAATTCCTCAGAACGTCTTCCTTCTTTGTGATTTTACTTGATTAATAAAAGAAATCCAATTCGTATCCGAACAAAAACAGATCAGTCTGGAGAGGAGCACAACCAGTACCCATGGGGACCCACTACATATCTATATGTTCTATTGTCCACAAACTTCCAGCTTCAACAAATTGACCAAATCGATAAAAGATATTGTAAATAGAGATTATTAGCAGAGAATGTTTTCGTATTGTAGACATAATATATTTATAATAAAACATGTATTTTGCGAGCCTATGCAAAGTAATACTTTTTATTCCTAATAAATTATACTCAAAATGGATGAACAGTTTAGTAAATAGCTGTACAGAATATCCGTTTTCCGTTGGTTATGGCTATGTATAGTGTGAACAAAATATACAATGTCATTCTTATTACATTAGATCACTGACGCAAAGACTTAAAGATATATATAACAAAATTGGTCTCAAACTGTATCTGAATCAAACAAATGTATTTATCACAAAAATGGTAAAAAATGATTTATATCCCGAACAGTATTTATTTTGTTTAAATGTAAAATAATTCCGGGTTTCCTTAGCAAGATTTCGATGTTGTTCACATGATCTTTTTATTGAAACTGGACGTTACACGGGTATTAAAAGAGAAGAACGCATTTGTCAATTGTGCGCCCTGAATGACATTGAAGATGAATATCACTTTTTTGTTGTTGCACATTTAATGCAACATTAAGGGCTAAGTATATCTTACTTTTACAAAATTTATCTATGTACATTTATCATGCAATGAGAAACCGAAAAATATTATGTTATAGACTCTACTGCTCTGAATGCACTTAGTATTAATGTACTAAAGGCCTGTGGCCTCCTGACTACGGAAATAAAGAAATCAATACTCAGAATGTCTACTGAATACCAAAGCAACTTAAGTACATGAAGTAGTATGAACTGTATTTTGGATAAAGTAAACTGCTTTGGTAAGAATGAGTGACCATAAAATACTCATTGCCATAGTTCTACGATACGATCGGCAGTACTGCCTTATACCCATAATCACAGACATTATGTGAAATACATTGTATAAAGGTTAAAAAAACCCACACCATATGGCATAAAATACAGATCTGTTCCAAGAGGGTGAAACTCATCACAGCTCTATCCTAATCGTGAATAAGTGATTGCTATCAACTGCGGTGATAACCAATCGATTGATATCTCACCATCTTCGATTCTTAATCTGTAATTGCGACACCTTATCAACGTCTAATGCCTGTGGGGTTTTCCTGATGTGTGCTCGGCTGCGCCCCCTGGGACAATGTACGCATTATGGGACGTTATTAAGTAAATAAGTATATCAAACAGTACGTCTTAATATGCAGAAAAACATGCAAAATATGCGTACAAAGTCCCCTAAAGATTATTGGAAGTTACTGAATAAATTTAAGAAAAAAACGCAACCGGAGGAATATGATCTTGACTCTTTCTTTACGTTTTTCAAAAATACCAATATATCTCCAGAAATGGACTCTGATATAGAACTGCAAGTTGACGAAAACGATGACCATATCCTTAACCAGGAAATAACAATAGCAGAAAAGACGAAGTCAGTTTCGAAACTTAAGACAAATAAATCGCCGGAAATAGATGAAATCCTAAATGAATATTTGAAATATACTATTGATTTGTTTATCAAAGTGTATCATAAATTATTTAATATTATATTTGATGCAGGCATCTTACCAGAAGAATGGGTCCTCGGATTGATCAAACCTATTTATAAAAAGGTGATCGTAAAGATCCGAACTCTTACCGACCCATTACTCTTTTTAGCTGCCTCGGTAAATTGTTTACTTCTAGTTTAAGTGACAGAATTAATAACTATCTAGAAATAATAATTTGTTATCAGAATCACAAGGAGGATTTCGATACGGATATTCTACTGTTGATAACATGTTCGTATTGCACCCCTTCATTAAATACCTCAGGTCACACAAAAAGAAACTATATTGTACATTTATAGATTTCGATAACGTTTGGCGCTTTGGACTCTGGCAAAAATTATCAAAACAAATGTACATGGTAAATGTTTCCAAATCATATTTAACATGTACCAAGGCATAAAGTCGTGTATTGTTGCTTATGGTGAAAATTCATCGTTTTTCTCTAGTGATATAGGGGTAAGACAGGGGGTAAATCTATCGCCAATTCTCTTTGCCCTGTACCTAAATGACCTTGAAGAATATCTACAACAGTAAATATGTAAAGGTATTGATATTATATCGGAAGATTAAGTAGTTAGATTCTGCAAAAATATTATTGTTTGGCTATATGCAGATGATACTATTATTCTTGCAGATAACGCCTATGACCTTCAAAATAACATGAATGTTTTTTATGAATATTGTACACAATGGAAGTTGAATATTAATATTGATAAAACTAATATAAGGTGGTTGTATTTGGATCAAGAAAGAACAATACTGTGTTTAGAATAGGCGATAATGTTGTTGAAGTAGTAGATCAATATAAGTACTTGGGTCTGGTTTTGAAACGAACTTGAAATTTCCTAGCAGCCAAGATGTCGTTAGTAGCTCAAGCTAGAAAAGTTATGCATTTATCATATATTAGATTACGTAACCTTGATTTACCAATAAACTGCCAGCTATTATTATTTGATCAAACAATCATGCCTATATTAACATATGGTTCCGAAATCTGGGGATTTGGTAAACTAGATATGATAGAAAAGGTTCACACAGATTTTCTAAAATATATACTAAGGGTAAAAAAAAGCACACCCCACTATTTTGTATATGGAGAACTGGGAAGAACCTATATTACGGATTTAATTAAACAAAGAATGTTGACATACTGGTCTAAGATCATTTATATATACCAACGAAATTGTGTACTGTTATGTATAATGTATTATGTTCAGACTCCTGTAACGATGAATACAGCTGACTCGAATATGTTAAAGGATTATTTGATGGATTAGGCCTTAGTTTTAAATGGACCCAAGAATTCATGCCAAATATAAACGTATTAAAATGTGTTATGAAACAGTTTAGCCAGTTTAGCCAGACTTGGACAAGTTGGATAAACAACTCTTCCAATGCAGTATTTTACCGAATATTTAAAGATAAAATCCAGTAAGAAAATCATCTGCTGTCGCTACCCTTAAGACTCAGTAGCCCGATTACTGAAATAAGATCCACAAACCATAGATTACCAATAGAAAAGGGGCGATGGGAAAATATACCGCGGGAAGACAGAATTTGTAGTCACTGTAATAAACAGGACTTAGCTGACGAATATCAATATCTACTAATATGTCCTTTTCTGCATAACCTGCGTAAGTTATATATTCAAAAGAAGTACTTTACAAGACCTAGTACGATAACACTTGATATGCTACTAAATACTGAAAGTCTATTGAACAAAGAAAACTAGCACAGTTTGTAAAAGAAATCCTCAAGATGTTTAATTAAATTTATTAGTCTGTTGCAATTGAACGTATAGTTGACGCACGTCTGTCTCATGCCTCGTGTCACCATAAATCTCCATTTGTACCTTCAATATGTCATAGCTATGACCTTGAAGCAAAATATACGTTTGTTGTTGTTGTTATTATTCCCGATGACCATATAAAAACGCTGATCACAACTCAGAAGTCAATTCAGGTGTCTGTCTGTCTGTCTGTCTGTCTGTTGTTTAACGTATCTATGATAATATGAGTTCTCAGAATAGTGAGCGTGTCCTGCTCTATCGGTGACATCCGTCACATGAAAAACTGTATTTCACACTTTCTTTTACAGACAGGGCTCACCTGAAACGTTCGTGTCCCGTTGTCTGAGCGTTTTGCAGGCTTAAGGATGAATATGAAGCACTATTATTCCATACTTGCTGCCTTCACAGTATCTGCAGCACTGCTATATGTAGCAACCAGGACCACACAACTACAGGCAATGGTTCTGGATCTACAAGTCATGAGTCAACTCAAGTCCAGCGCTCAGGTGAGTGAATATGAACGACAAAATGTAATCATACGAAATATCTGCTAAAAACAGCATCCATTGTTTGATTCCGACTACACCATGAGCATGTGTTGATGACTGATTGGCCACTCGCTATTGCATTCATTTAAGCATTGACTGTGTATTTGTTTCCGTTCATTGAGGTATGAATCGAAGAACCGATGTGCAAACTTTTGTTAGAATCCGATACGCGGATATAATTAAATTCGACAATGAAAACATGTTTTATCAACAAAAGTTTAACTAAAAATAGTTGTGTATATCGAAGCAGACAAAAAAGACGACATTTATAAACATTCCAGGTGTAGGGATACATACGGTGGCATGACTTTAATCAGGTGATTGTTTAATTTATGCACATAACTTGACCACAAAGTCAGTAGCCAGTCAACGGAGAATATGATTGAACATTGACCTGTCAATCAAGGCAAGAGGCGAGAAGAATTGCAACAATCAGACTGTCACGAACTGGAACAAATATGTCCGCGAGATGGCGGCTGTTTCAAATGACACGGTCCGTTACCGCAAGATTCAAACATTAGTTCCCTGAGACTGGGAAGACGCAGTTGGAAACATGCTAGTTAGAAATGAAACCCGAAGACATTAAAGTTGTGGAACCGAGGCGAGCCGGCACGTTTGCTGTTTTATTCCTTCTTGGCCTTCAGTCTCAAAGGGTTGTTTGGACAATGAATTTGTGTGAGTTTCGCTAAATGTCCTGTGCATGGGGATACACGTGAGCGTGGCTAAATATTTTACATTCATTAGTAAATGAATGCAATAAACCAATTCAGCTAATCAGAATGCAGGAATTTAATGAACACAACGAATAATTAATTATGTCAAATGAATGAAAAACTTAAGCCACGCCCACCGAAGCGGACTATTTTTATTACTAAGGAATGTCGTTGAATCCCAATATTGCAGTCGAGGGAAGGCCTTTTCTGCTCACGTGTATCGTCATGCACAGGACATTTAGCGAAATTTATGCGTATTCATTGTCCAAACTACCCTCTGAGACCGAAGGCCTGATAAGGAATGAAACATGAAACGTGCAGGGTTTCTCGGCTGGTTCCACAAATTTCATGTCTTCGGATTTCATTTCTAACCCGCATTTTGCAACTGTGTCTTCCCGTTCTTACAGAACTAATGCTTGAATCTGACAGACCATATCATTTGAAACAGCCGCCTTCTCCTGGACATATTTGTTCCGGTTCGTGACAGTCTGACTGTTGCAGCTTTTCTCGCCTCTTGCCTTGATTGACAGGTCCTATAAACTTTGTTTTGATCTTACCCTCCATTGATTGGCTACTGACTTTGTGGGAGTGTCAAGTCATGTGCATAAATTAAACAATCACCTGATTCATTTTACTCCACAGTATGTATTCCTCCACATGGAATGTTGATCAGTCTCGTCATTTTTGTCTTCTTTGATATGAATACAACTGTTTTGGGATAAATTATTGTTGATAACACAGGTCGAATTAAATCATAAGGACAGGCGGTTGATTTGTTTCGGTTCATTCAGGAACGAATCGGAAAACCGACGTGCAAACAGTACGAATCCTGGTAAACATCGGTTTTTCGAGTCATACCTCAATGAACCGAAAACAATCTCAGTCAGTCCTTAAATAGTGATGATACCATTTGTTCGCGAAGAGGTGAGCGTATCCCGTTCAATCGATGGCACATATCTCAAACACGTGTAAAGGCAAGTCAATTGTTCACCTGAAAACACAACGACATGGGAACTGGTGATACACGTCCAAATAGGCAATTGAGTCAGACATCATATTTGTCACTGACGCATATAATGTGGAAATGTTCTGGACATGTCTTTACGGAATGTTGAATGTTGTAAACCTTAAACATCGCTGAAATCGTAGAAAGTGCATGCTCGGTTGTACCACAGATGTTGTGAAATGTAGACACCAAAGGCTGAGATGTTGGATTAGTGTTCGACATGAAGGGAAAGTTGACGATTGGCAAATTGAAGTCATCACCCTTTGTCATACAGTCTTGTGGATATTTTTTTGTGACATCACATTTTTCCAATAATGTTGTTTCTGTTTGGCATGGAAACCTCTTGACACATTTTCATGCAATGCTCGCTTCTTCTTTGTTTTGAATTACATGTACACTGTGTGTCGAATGTACATTTTGAACGAGTTGATCATGATCTTACAATGACTGTTTCATTTCTGTTGACAGGTTGTGACAACGAAGAAGCCATCCGTCGGGTCACCAGTGGTGACGGATGACGCTGAGGCCGCCCATCCCATCCCCATGAACGACAAGCTCCAGGTCATGACGAACAAACAACTGGCAACTCTTTATAACGAGTAGGTATTTTGTGTTATAACTAAATTAACAATATGTACGTGTTTTGCCCTATTTCAGTTTTGTAACCAAGGTGCTCGTGTTATTGTATTTAAGTTAACTGAACAACATTCACGTGTTGTGCGGTTTTTCAGTTGTCTAACCAGTACCCACGTGTTGTGCCGTATTTCAGTTTTCTAACCAACCTCCACGTGTTTTATCGTATTCCAGTGCTGTTGTGCATTTCAGTTACCTAAGCAATATTCACGTGTTGTGTCGTATTTCAGTTTTCTAACCAATCTCCACATGTTGCGTCGTATTTCGGTTATCTAACCAACCTCCATGTGTTGTGTCGTATTTCAGTGCTGTGGCGCATTTCAGTTACCTAAACAATATTCACGTGTTGTGCTGTATTTCAGTTTTCTGACCAACATCCAAGTGTTGTGCCGAGACAAGATTAGGATGGGCAACATTCAAGCCGGCGGCTGGGACGTCTGTCTGGATGGACATTATAAGCCAAAGAAAGACCACTGCATCGTCTACTCATTCGGGTCAGTACTACACACGTATTTTGTAATTCTGATAAAATACCAATACATTTTCATCAGTAAGAAACTTCACATTGACTACCAGTGACCGAAAATGGTAAGGATGAGGATCAAGTATATTTGGACAAAACTGTATTGTTATATATATTTCTTTTTAAATTAAATATTTCAGCATTGACAACGACTTCAGCTTTGACGACGACGTCGCTAGCACCTTCGGTTGTGAAGTGCACGCTTTTGATCCAAGGTAAGTGCCCGGCTCCCATCACAGAAAACTGTAAAATATTCTACTCTGTTCAGGGTTTGGTAACGCGAGATATACAACACTCTGAGATATACACACTACTGTTGGTGTGTTTGTTCAGGGATGTATATCTACAAGTTATGATATAATGTACACTGATATAATGTTTATAGATAGGGGAGGTGGGGTAGCCTAGTGATTAAAGCATTCGCTCGTTACGCCGAAGACCCGGGTTCGATTCCCCACATAAGTACAATGTGTGAAGCCCATTTCTGATGTCCCCCACCGTAATATTCCTAAAGGCGGCATAAAATCATACTCACACTCGCATGTTTTTGTATATATATCGGAGGGCTTAGGTACAGTGGAGCGTCATCTATTGCTACACAAACTGCAGTGTGTGTGGTTCACCTGCTCCAGGTTCGAACCAGACACGACAGGCTCCTCTCACAAACGGAGTGAAATATTGTTGAAATATATTTCCTACTCTTAAATTCAGTAATGCATACAATATATTTAATGTGTAAGGACGAGGATGCCAATATTACAATATTACAACAAGTAATCAACATGTTTCTCTTTAATATTATAGCATGAAGCAAAAAGACCATCTGAGAGGCAGGCGTGTCCACTTCCACAACCTTGGTTTGTCGGACCGTGATGGTAAAGGGAAGAGGCAGTGGCCAATGAAGACGATGCTCTCCATCAGACAAGATCTCAAACATGCTGATGTAAGAATTACACGGGATTTTTTGTTGTTGTGTGTGTTAAACATTGCACTCAGTCATATTTCAGCTAAAAGACAGCGGCATGTGAATCTGGGTCAGAAAATCCAGTGATTGATATTGAGAGCAGCTATCCACACTGTCGGGGTACGATGACACGTAATAAACCTAGTCACCGAGCCTGACACCCCGATCCATTAAGTTTCCTCTTATGACCAAAACACATTGCAAGCTACCAATGCTGACCCTGAACCACTTGAGAGGTATTACACACGCACGTGTCTGATAGATGTGGGAGAAAAGCCAGTCGTGTGTGGCTTTCTCTCAGAGTTCTCTTCAGCACGACAGAAGCTTATTTTTTTGGAATCGAATCTCAATTCGCCCAGGAGATGTTTTAACGTTTGTTAGCACCATATCCGTATTTCACAAAAGTGTTTGGTTAACGTCCAAGACCTGCCTTTTTTTCAGGCTTTCGTCCTGCATCAAATTGACACGCTGTGATTTAACAAAAATACACTTCACTCACACGTTCACTCACTCATCACATGTGTGCGACGGTACGAAACCACACTCACGTCTTATTAACTGATTGATAAAGTATTCAGCAGTAAATAAACTCATGCTTTTATTTCCAGGGAGTAATCGACTACATGAAGATTGACATCGAAAACTCTGAATGGGGATCTCTGAACCACGCGTTCAAAACCAACGGCCTCAAGGGAGTCAAGCAGTTGTCGTTGGAGTTCCACGTATTTGGTAAAGAGGAAAGGTCCAAGTACATCTACCGGCTGAACGTCTTCCGTGGCTTGTACAACCTCGGCTACAGGATATTCTGGACACACAACAACGTGGTCTATCCCGCCTGCAGGTTCACATCTGTTTACGACGGCAGAGAGAGAACCAGATGTCATGAAGTCTATTTCCTTAAATGGGTGGTTTAAATTCGTTGCGCAATGGTGATTCAATTAGGCATTATGTGTTGGAATCCCGTTTCGCCCTGATTATGTTTTTAGCTTTGTCGGCACTATAACCGTGCTTGTGGGTTCCACCAAAGTGGTTCGCGTCTTGGACATGCATCAATTCGGGCAGGTCACTGTAACTGTGGATGTTTGTGGCTTGTAAAGTAAGCGTCTTAGTTTGACGGTAGTATCCAGCCACTCTAACGTTGTCATATCATTATTGTATATATTTCACATATCATCTCAATAAACATTTTTTTATAAACGTTGAATCGTTATATTGTTAACGTGTGTCATGCTTTCACTGTGAATGGCATACGTTTATATCCAACCTGATGGCAAGATTTGCGCCCTTTAGTCATCCAGAATCCGATGTTCATTGGTTCAAATCTCCGAATCTCCTTGATTTGGATCACTAGCCTGTCGTCCATAAACACTCCCGTGGCTTTGCCATAATATATGAAAACCTGAAACACTGTTGAAAGCGGTTTAACCCTCAGATCAAGTGACCTCATAGCGTGTCATCGTTGCTCATAATATCAATCACTAGAATGACTGGTCATCATACACCTGGGATATTGCAGCGTTTAAATCACACATACAAAACAGGTTTGAAAACGGACGTATTTTTATAATGGCCATACAGACAACAAAAGTGCACTCTCAACTGCATGTACACGAACAAGACCTTTGATTTTAACGCTGCACTCCGTAATGTTCCTGCTATGGTGGCAACCTGGAAACAAACGAAGTCCTTTCTATCAAAACAATTAAATGTAGAAAGTAAAACAATGCCCCTCACGATATGTTCTTGTGAAGATTACAACACTTGATGTCGGTGTTAGAACTGAACTGTGGTTGCAATGGCCGTTCTTCCATGTTTTGTTTGTTTGTTTGTTCGTTTGTTTGTTGTTTAACGCCGCATAATCTACATTTCATATTTACATTTTGATGCAAAATCACGCATTGACGGTTTCGAGTGGGAAGTGACTGGTCCTGAGCAGCTAACAGAAAGCCTTCTGTTTCACTTTTCAGGCCAGCCAACTTCATCTAAGAGAAGGACTCTGCAGGGTTACTGATCTCTTCAACACACTGCAGCGGTCGTCCAGATAGCCTCTCTTCGAAAAACGTGGCCGATTTGATATGGCACATTGCTTGGTTGACACTCATTTATGTACCGTTCAACAGTACAGAGCCATCAACAAAATCAACATTGACACGGAGATTATCCCACATCCTTGACTCGTTTAAGAAAACTGTGGAAAGTCTTGTTTTCATCATGAGTTTTGACCTGCTTCACAAGAGGATCATCAGACAAATAAATGTGTGCAAAGTGCACAAAACAATTCTATCATGACGAGCACCAACGTTAATCAAACCACGCCCTCCCAAATGATTGGTAAATATAAGCAATTGAGGCAAGAGCGAGGGTGGTGGGAGCTATTGTCTGACATAATGTTTCGTGTGAGGGTGTCAATACCCTGAATTTCTATTATCATTATTTATAAATGAAAATAAAAAATGCAGCAAGGAGGGTTTGGGTGATTCTGACACAGTCAGGCCGGTCAGGCTCTTCATCAAAGTGTGACATTTCGAAAGCGAGGAACCCCACATCCCTTTCTTGCTCCTTTCTGCTCCATGTAAATAATAGCATTGGTTGCGCAGTATGATGACACAATATCTGACATAATATAATATAAGACACCCTGTAAATATTTTGTATTGTGTATTCAGACAAGTAATAGGGCGGAAGTATTATTAATGTTATTAATATTATTATTATTATTATTATTATTATTATTATTATAGTAGTGTTTGTTGCCTGATGTCGCACAGCAGTTATCCTGCCATATGACGGGGCCTGCAAACAATCGAGTCTTGACCAGACAATCCGGTGATTGGCACAATAAGAAACCATCCACGCAGTCGCGGTACGCCTTCACCCGATGTATGAATCAGGTCACTGCGTCTGACAACCCAATCCATTAATGTAAGAGCCAGTGATAAAAGGAGGCGTGAAAACACCATGTGAAGTTCATTGTGGCATTGTGCATAAAGTTGAACAAAAGACGTATTAAGTAAATTCCTCAGGACGTCTTCCTTCTTTGTGATTTGACTAAATTAATAAAAGAAATCCAGTTCATATCCGAACAAAAACAGATTAGTCTGGAGAGGAGCACAACCAGTACCCATGGGGACCCACTACATATCTATATGTTCTATTGACCACAAACTTGACAAAACTTTTGCCAATCAGAAAATCCAGCATCTCACATTCTCAAGGTATAATATTCCTGAGTAAAGTTCGAATTTCAACAAATTGACCATATCGATAAAACATATTGTAAATAGAGATTAATAGCCGAGTATGTTTTCGTTTCGTAAACATAATATATTTATGATAAGAATTTAATTTTGCGAGCCTATGAAAAGCGTATTACATATGCGTTTTATTCCAAATAAATGATATCTACGTTGGATGAACAGTTTAGTAGCTGTACAGAATATCTACCGAATACCAATGCGACTTAAGTACCTGAAGTAGTATGAACTGTATTTTGGATAAAGTAAACTGCTTTGATAAGAATAAGTGACTATAAAATACTCATTGACATAGTTCTACGATACGATCGGCAGTACTGCCTTATACCCATAGTCACAGACATTATGTAAAATACATTGTATAAAGGTAAAAAAAACCCACTCCATTTGGCATAAAATACAGATCTGTTCCAAGAGGGTGAAACTCATCACAACTCCTAATCGCGAATAAGTGATTGCTACCAACTGCGGTGATAACCAATCTATTCAATATCTCAGCATCTTCGATTCTTAATCTGTAATTGCGACACCTTATCAACGTCTAATGCCTGTGGGGTTAACCTGATGTGTGCTCGGGCGCGCGCCCTCGGGCCATGTACACATTATGGGACGCTATTATTCCCGATGACCATATAAACACGCTGGTCACAACACAAAAGTCAGTTAAGGTGAGTGTTCAGTCCCGATCAACAGAACAAGGTCATAACATAAACGAAGTCTTTTTAAGAATTCAAGTGAGCATCCTTCTTGTGAGTAGATCCATCGTGTCTGTCTGTCTGACTGTATGTCTGTATGTACACTCTTCAAAACGAACAGGTAGTATGTAGTTCATTGAACCTGACTACACAAAAAAAAAATCGGTATATAAGTTGGATGAATGTTATAATAATTGGAAAATGTTAGTGGCCTGATATTCGACAAAAGGTGCGTCAAAGCGCAGTCATTGTCGATTTGCACTGTCTTAAACGGCATCGTTTTCTCACTTGTTCAAAATGTAATGGAGGAAAACAGTAAAGCAAAATGCACGTGCAAGTTATGGCAATTCATAACTCGTGGTAGTGGCTATAAAAAGGCAAGCATAAGCCAATAATTTGTCATTCAATTGTCAACATTTCGAAAATGCCTAGACTGTTAGGAACCATCTTTACGAGGCTGGAATCCGACCCAGAAGACCATCGTCTCTGTTTTGCAACAGATCCAACGACAGAAGACGTTTGCGATGGTGCCATACCTTACAGCCTTGGAATGTGAGAAACTGGAAACGAGTGTGATTTCTTCTTCACCAGCGAGATGGAAGACAACGTGTTTATCATAGTCGGAATGAGCGTTCTGCCCCACATCGTGTACGTGAATTCAACAATTTCGGTGGCGGTAGTGGCATGGTGTGCGGGGCCATATCCTTCACCACGAGATCTGACTTGGTTATGGTTCAGGGAAATTGGACAGCAAATCGCTACATGAATCAAATTCTTCAACCTTACCTTCTTCCAATCATTGATCGCCAGAAGGAGCTGTTTCAACAGGACAAAGCTTCATCGCACACAGCTCGTGTCACAGTAGACAACCTTCATAATGCCAACATCAACGTTTTGCCCTGACCGTCGAGATCTCCAGATCTCAACCAACTCGAACACCTCTGGGATGAACTCGATCGACGTGTACGTCAACGTCAGAACACGCCGCAAACACTCCCACAAATGGTCATCGCGTTACAAGCAGAATGGCACAGAATTCCGCAGGACAGAATTCGTACACTTATCCAGACAGTGCCGAGGAGTTGCAGAGCCGTGATTGCTGCCCGGGGACGTCACACGAAATACTGAGTTCAGCGTAACCTTGTGGCCTCATGTGACGTGACAATGAACAGTTTTCAATGCCTTTGTACAGCGACAACGACATGTGACAGTCTAGCTCCAAACTTTCATATTTGTATCTATGATATTAAATCAAATATATCGGTGGCATCCATCGCATGCAGAACTGCAGAGCTTTAACGAACCATTTCACACTTTCTTTTACAGCTCTTGGCCTCTGGATAGAGCTCACACGAAACGTTCGTCTCCGGATGCATGAGCGTTTTGCAGGTTTAAGGATGAATATGACGCACTATTATTCCATACTTGCTGCCTTCACAGTATCCGTAGTACTGCTATATATTGCAACCAGGACCACACCGCAGCAGCCAATGGTCCTGGATCTACAAGTCAGGAGTGGACTCAAGTCCAATGCTCAGGTGAGTGAATAAGAACGACAAAATGTAATCATAAAAATTCTGCTAAAAACAGAATCCATTGTTTGATTCCGACAATATCATGAGCATGTGTCTATGACTCACTACCAAATTAAGAAATTTTCGTTGTAATTCCTGTATTCTGATTGGCCGCGTGCTATTTCATTCATTTCCAAATGAATGTAAAAATTAAGCCACGCCCACCGAAGCGGACTACTGCGGAATGTCGGGGAATCCCAAAATTGCAGTCGAGGAAATTCCCTTCAGCTCACGTGTATCGTCATGCACAGGATATTTAGCGAAATTCACGCGTAGTCAATGTGCAAACTACCCTCTGAGACCGAAGGCCGAGAAGGAATGAAACAGGAAACGTGCAGGGTTTCTCGCCTGGGTTCCACAAATTTCATGTAACCCTTAAACATCGCTGAAATCGTAGAAAGTGCTTGCTAGGTTGTACCACAAACGTTGTGAAATGTAGACACCAAAGGCTTGAGATGTTGGAAAAGTGTTCGACATAAAGGGAAAGTTGACGACTGGCAAATTGAAGTCATCCCCTTTGTCATACAGTCTTGTGGATAGTTTTTTGTGACATAACATTTTTCCAATAATGTTATTGTTTCTGTTTGGCATGGAAACCTCTTGACCCATTTTCGCTTCTTCTTCTTTTGGAATATGTGTACAGTGTTTGTGGAATGTACATTTTGAACGAATTGA